AACCCCTAAACTCTAAACCCTAGGCACAGCAGAGCTTCGCTGGGCATGGGCACATTCAGGCCTGTGCGGTCTGGTGTCAGCATCGGTTTTGACCTTTGGAAAATCACAGGGCAGGGGTACAGAGCAAAGTCTTTCTTTTCACAGCGCTGCAGCTGCCATCAACAGTTTCTTCTTGCGATAGTTATGGTCACCAAGGTCAATATTGCCACACCTTTCTTGTGTGGCGCGTGTTTGTTGCTTCGCTCATTCAAGCAATTTCAGCATCTTCCCTGCCCCTCGTTGTAATGCCATGGCTCTGAGTTATGCGGAGTAAGAGATGATGTCCTCCACTCTGTGGGAAAGGCTCCCACCCAGTGGCAGTTGTTAAATGGCAACAGATAGGAGCCCGAATATGATTTCTATCATCCCCTGAGTGGGAGGAGGATCACCCACTCAAAGGCCAAAGAAAATTGCATCGTTTTTGCCCGCTGTGCTTAGCTAGCTCAATTTAGTGACTGGTTGGAGGTGGACATGAGACACCAAGTGGAGCCTCCAGCAATCATAGCCGAGTTCGTGACCCCGGGCAGCTTTTGGCCCAACAGCGTCCAGACAGCTATTTGTCAATATCATTGGGCTACTGGCACTGCATGGGTCACAACTTCGCCGGTTATTATCATTTGCCCCTGGCACCTACAACCGGATCCCTTGCAAACAGTTCTTGCAGGCTTCGAAGCAAGCTTCATAGAATTCATAGGGCGAAACCCAACAGATTTTCTCAGATTCCACTGATGGAGTTCATTTTGATGTGTTCACCTATCCCTTCAAGAGGCCCTGCCACCTTCACAGACAAACTAGTCTGCCCTATATTACCCCTATATAACCCTATATGATATAGTAGTTTCCGCTTTATTTCCATTATCCCAATATATCTCCAATATTACCCCTGTACTTTCGACGTCCTGAGCGTGAAGCCCCGAACCTGGCGGCACGTCCTTCACGCAGGTCATGCTTTGCAGTCTCAAAGCCGCGGGCACAGGCCTGGCACTTTGACTTTGTGGGGCCCTGGAGTTTGCTAAGAGAGAGCTTAAGGTCGAGTTGAAGGGTTAGGGTTCAGAGGTTGCCTGAACTTAGATAATATATTCGAGCTTAGGGGTTAGAACTTAGGGCTTTATGGGCAATTTCTGGGAAGCACCAAAGCTCATGCAAGGTGCTGTGAACCATGGAGGGAGGTAGCAACCCTAAATCCTGAAAGCCTAAAACCTAAACCCTTATGACAACTCTTGTCCATGCCTTGTACTGACAGTCTACATGCAGTTCCTAAATCTCCTAGCAACGCCAGGAAGCCACAATCAAGGATTTGGGGGTTTAGAGTTTAGGCTTTGGGATTTTAGGGTTTTAGGGTTTTTGGTTTGGGGTTTTGGGGTTTAGGTTTTAGAGGTTTAGGATTTTAGGGTGTAGGGTGTGGTCAGGAAGGCGGATGCGGAGGTGAGGCCACTGTCGGACAACAGTCATCAGAAGAATCCCCTGCGCGTGCAGACATGCAGCAGGCTTTCTTTTTTCTTTTGATTTTTAATGCAATCTAGGATCCCAAGAATTCTTGGATCATAGCAAACCTGAAATGAATAGATGGCTGTAGTGACTTAGGGTGGGTAGTTTAGGGTGTGCTCCAATGAAAAACATTTGTCGGACATCTTACTGAGCAAGTTCTAAAACGGCTGTACAGAGGAGAACCGTAGCAATCTTTGCAACTCCTTGCCTTCTCATAGCGCACTCTTACTTCTTCGGAGAAGCAAATTGAAGCTTCTAAACTGAGTTGCTGCTGAGGAAACTTAATGCAATTCACCATATTATGGGTAGATAGTAAATCGTCGCGTTTCCTCATTACAGTGACTTACCCTAAGTTCCTTAACAGCGACCCAGCAAAGCTGTATCTGCAGGCCTGAACCTTACTGCGGCGGACTTTGTGCTGTTGATTGATCCGCTGCGAGCTCAGAGCTTTCTGAACATCTGCCAGACATGAGCTATGGTCTAAACGCCATTAGGGTTTAGGATTTAGGGGTTTAGGGTTTCGGGGTTTAGGGTTTCGGGGTTTAGGGTTTTGGGGTTTAGGGTTGAGGGTTTATAGTGTTTAGGGTATGGGGGATTAATATAGGGGAGTGTTATAGGGGTTATTAAGGGGGGATACTAGGAGTTTGGGCTAGCTCACATGGGTGTGTTCAGCATGTTCTAGGCCTGGGCACCAGGAAGCGCGTTCGGTTGAACAGGGCTGCTCGATGTACCTCAGCACTCAGCTCATCTTTCTGGCAGGAACTCTGGCAGATTCTCAGTTTAGGGTTTAGGGTTTTTGAAGACACCAACTTGATTGATGGACCCCGGGGCATAAGCATCTATCAAAAGCGCCAGGTTCCCGAGAGTGCGCCTAAAGTGACCCTGGAAAAGTCGTTCCTCGAGTAATTTCGGGGGTCACCGAAACTATGGCACTCTGTGGCCTGCGCAGTTCCCAGAAATCCCCAGACATGATAGTCCTAAAGAAGGGGACCCCGACAAATACCCCGCAAAATACTATGATCCTTGTAAGGACCCCCAAAATGGTACCCCTAATCTTGGTAAACCTCCAAAGCCGCCAACTTGACCCTTGGCAATTTCTTTTCCTGAGGGTCCGCTCAGGTACATGAGGCCTTCGGCAGTACAATCCCCCTAAGATAGCATATTGCTGTGTCCAACAAAAGCCATGATAAGATCCCCATATACCCTATTATCTATCTACTTGACAGGGAACTCGACGGGTTTGCGCCTTAACCTAAAACCTTGGATAGTTGCTAGGTCTAGGGTTCAGTGTTGTGGGGCCTTGCTGTCTTCAAAGGCCCCTGCCTATGATCCTTTTTTCTTCTTGAGCGCTGCGGAGTGCGCGTAACAAGTCCTGTTGTCTTTGGGTTGGGACTTGAGGGGATACCTCCCAGCCGATTTGTTACTTCTGCAAATCTTCCATCGCCTTCAACCCTACCCTGAGACTAGTCTAAACTCCTGGCTTTATCGTCAGCCTTGTCATAATAAGATCTCCATAAAATATACCCCAAAATCGATATGCAACGAGATCATTCCAAGTCCCAAGGTGGTGGAATCCTGCCGTGGAGGCGGGATGAGTTGCGTGAATCCGGGCTTGCCGTCGGCATACCGTGGAAGCCAGAAAAAATCCCCTGTGGCGTAGCAGTCCGCAAAACCTAAGTGGAAGCAATGTGGGCCACAATCTCGCCTGCCTCATATCCCAATGACGCCAGGAGCCTTGTATGAAGATACTCAGGAATTGGAGACATCTCATTTGAGCGCTCTTTTTGGCAATGTCTGCTACGACCTACCACCGCGCCTGAAGAAGCTTTGAGAACCCCGAATGGCGAGGCCAACGCTTAAAGTCTCAGGGGCTGCAAGGGTTTAGAGTTTGAGAGGACTCTACAAAGCAAGAAGCCCAAGGCCCTAAACAATCTGAAGCTCAAGCGCTAAAGGGCTGCGGCGAGACAAGCGCAACAGTACGAACAATGCCCCTAGAAAGCATATTGCAGCCAAAGTGGCAGTAGATGTAATGACACCAGCATATCCTGGTTTGGGTAGCAGCAGAACAGCAGCTGCAAAGCAGATATAGAAGTTTCTCAACAGTTTCTCAACACACGGCCTTCATATCAGTGTATTGATGGGGCCCCGTAAAATTCGCCTAGAACCCTTTGCAACCCCACCTCGGAAAACGCTACAAAATCCCCAAACTTTGTCGCCTTTTCTACAGATAGCCACTCTTTCCCTCTTTATCCCTCTATACATATGTATATGTATACGTATATATATATACACATACACACACACATATATATATATGTACATATACGCCTATATACACCCTGAGCGTCCTTTTGATGCAGGATCAGGCCATTGATCGCCTCCACCGTCTCGGCCAGCGCCGTCCCGTGCGGGCGCTGCGCTTCGTGGCCGAGCGCACCGTCGAGGTTGGGGCACACGGGGAGGGCCGGTGGTGCTTAGGGGTTTGGGTTAAAGTGCATGTAGAAGCTTGGCACATTTGTCCAGAAATGATTTCCGGATGTGTTAGAAAATGAGGTAATAGTTACTCTTCACTTCTACTGAAGGGTATCCTTAGACAGGAGCGCATCCTCGACGTGCAGAAACAGAAGCGGGCCATCGTGGAAGGTGCCCTCTCCAAGAAATCGCGCCACTTTTAAGCAAGACGCAAGAAGAAGAATAGCCTTGGATTGAATAGGGTGCAGCAGAAGAGCGATGATCCAAAGGCAAACGAGCAAATGTGCGAGTCAACTACCGCAGAAACCTCAATAGTTAATACCACCGCTATCCCCTGTAATATTTTGATAGACGGAGTAGCGGATCCCAAACCCCAATGAATTTGTTTGGACCCACGTATTGCTTGCACCCCCATACAACGAACCCATGAGGCAGGATGCCGTGCTAAGCGTTCACATTTGTTTGTGAGGGTTGCTCAATGGGGGGTGACTAGGAACCCTAGGGATACATCGGGATCGTAAGAGGGATCATGTGGGTTTACTTCTTGATCTTCGTAAGGTGAGATTCATAATCGTTGAATTTGCTGTTGTTTCTGCTCCATGGTTTCACGCCGTCTGCGATGAGCCACATGTGGCCTTGTTGCGATCAGTTGACACAGATCAGTTCAAGCATTGCTGCTTGGAAGGTCGCTCTTTCTGCTTTGCTCCTGTTGACCAGATGTCACCCGACTGCCGGTTGTTGCTCATGAAGCTAAAATGGTAATAATATAGATTATATAGTAATAGTATAGTAATAAGATAGCAAGATATAACAGTAATAGCTGAAGCAGTTCAAGGTATCAAACTTATGAAGGGATCACCAGAAGACTGCACAGGAAAGACCACAGAAGGTTACAACAGAATGTCGTGGGCTTGATCCCAACAATGTGTTGTGTAGCCCCAAATGTTGAACAGATCTGCCACGCTGATTCTAAGCCCCGGATAATTTAGATAAGGTTGAACAACGTCCTAAATGTACTAGGACGTTCCCGTCATGCCGCACCCCTCAAGCCAAGCACAACTATGTAGAGGAACCCTGGGGCAGCGTGGCGTAGACCAGATAGCTGTCACCAGGAAAATGCCTCCAAGTTGGTAGGGCATGGGTCACGCTGACATCTGGGTTCACACTAGAAGAACAATCTCGATATGGATCCCCTATTTTTCGGCAGAGGTAACTTATGGAAGCAGCCACGTCATTTAGTCATGTGGTCCGAGCCGGCTGGTCGGAGTGGATCTTCAGGGAACCGAACCGAATACGGACTTCATGTGAACCTAGTATGATACAAACTCATATTTCCTAGTGAAGGTGTATTGGGCTGTCTGGGTTCGTACTGTGCGGCCAAATCACTGGTGAAGAGCATGCGTCGCCGGCAGCCCTCCCCACATAGAAATTACCCGCCAGATCTAAGGACTCATGGAAAGCGGGATGTGTAATGCTAGGTGGGGTTTCCTTGGGGTGTCCTCAATCCCTATAATGAAGAAGTCTGGACAACTGCTAACATTAGTCCTGACAGGACTATAATGTACTATCTCGAAATTATCCTATTCACATTGCTTATGCGCCCTACATCGCAGATAGCATTATTCTTGATATAACTTAAACTCATCATACCCTAGTACCCATTCTTGCCCCGGCCATGTACCAAGGCGACGAGATACAGAAGATTCGCCTGGAGATGATGGCCTCCATCTTTGAGCCAATGTAGAAGGGAAGGGTCTGTAGATTGGAGGATTTAGGATTTCGGGTTCAAGGTTCAGGACTTAGGGTTTAAGATGTAGTGTGCTGAGAGTTAGATCTGGAACCTTCATTCTGCTTATTGCACAGAAGCTGCTCAGATGGCTGAAGCGTTTTTTTTTTTTTGGTCCGGCACCTTTTGCCGTGCCGTGCCGAGCCTGGAACCAGTTGGGACGGCTGGGTGGGAACTCGCTGTAGCTGGAATTAGCAAGAGGTAGGTTGCGGTTGCAGTACTACATATAGACGCTATAACTAGCCCAAGTGGTAGTAGTGGTCAGAGCCACCCTAAGAACTTTTTGATACTAACTCGTTTGGGATAAAGCGCCCTGCAGTGTTTGGTTTCATGATCCTGTGATGTTCTCTTTGTCCAGGGTCATCATATTCAGGACATTGTTTTGCAGGGCGCATGTAGGAATGACAGGCTAAATTCTGCACATGCCCAGACGTTCCGGTACTACACACACAGTTAAAAGTCAAGCTTGCTCCGGCATAGGGAGCTGATGCCACATCTTCCCAATCACGATAAACTTTGCAAGTTTCGCGCCTAAATCCGGATCACTGATGGCTATAGTTTTTAATTCTAAGTCTAAGCCTAAGTGTACCGAGAAACGAAGTCAGAACCACTATTCACACAGTTCTTTTTCAAACCAAGAAGCTCCTCGGCCTACAATCCTGAGTTCATCTTGTGCCCGGGGCCAAGACCTTATCTGTAATTGACCTCGGCGCTCCTTCCCCTTGATCCCCCGGTAGGTCCTGTCACATAAGCCGTTCCCACCTAGCCCTGAGGCCCCTGTGTGGGGCCGCAGAAAAAAGGAAGACTCGGTGCTAAACGCTAATCCCTAGAACCTTTAAAGGGACCGCCAATTTGGGCCTTCATGCTCGTGCTAGTTCTGACTGTACGGTTGAGTTTTGTGCAGGTTTGCCATCAACACACGGCGTTGTATGCAAACACATGATTTTTCTAAGTGTCGCCACCGGAGTCTGCTTGCACGTGCGTGACAGGGGATGCGCAGCTGGATAGAAAATGGCCGCAGCAAGTCCGTTGACGTTAATCATCTAAGTCAGGTCAGCTTCGATGCCCTCACTCCTGCATTGGATTCCTAGCTTACTTCTGAGGTTTGTTTTCTGGGTTGCTGTTAAGGAGTTTAATGTAAGTTACTACGTGGGGAAACCATTTTAGATACTATTAATATAGCCATTATGGTAGCAACGCAGCCTTCTGGCAATCAAAGGCAGATTTAGCAACCATGGCCAGGATGCGCTTAAGTCTCTCTATGGCGCTTCAAATTCAAAAAAGCCGGGATACTTATAGGGTTTAGGTTTTAGGGTTGGCAGATCGCGCAGAGACCGGATGCAAAAGGGGTTCATAGGGTTTAGGGTTTAAATCTAGCCATCCTCCCTTGAGAGACCCCGCGGAATCTCTGGAAGGATCTAGAAGGCAAGCGGAAATCTTGAACGTCTTCTGGAGTGTGATTCCCTCCTAAACAGGCAGCCTGTGATCTTCATCTCAGGGAACCCTCAGCTTTAGATGCCCCTAGACCTCCGAAATACCGATGATAACAGCCATTAACCCCAAAATAATAGACATAAAGGCTACTGTTATAGGTATTCGTGAGGTCCCTGATTTGAGCTTGCACATTTTTCCGCGGCGAAGGAAGGAAGCAAGCAAATTAACTTGAACATTTATTGCAGTCCGCAAGGCAACGTCGTGCTTTCCATGTTGCCCTTCGTATACCTCCCACCTTGTCACCCAACAGCAGTCATGAGTGGAAAATTAAAACGTTGGATGGTGGATAACAGTAAGATGGAATTACTTAAGAATTTGAATCTGCTTAATTAAACCTAAGCTCAAGACCCCCAAGCACAAAAATCCCTAATCCCCAATCCTCAACCTTTGCATGCAGGCCTTGTGGAACACTTTGTGCTATCCCGAGGCCGATCCCGCTATGATTACCCATGTGACCCTCCTGGGCTTTGGAACCTGAACAGAGAAGGTAGTTTCCCAAAGTGGGGGGACCCCAATATAGACCCGAATATGGTACCCCTAATTTGGGGAATCCCCAAACCCTAAACCCTAAACCCTAAATATTAGTTTCCATTTTATTTTCCGTTATCCCAATATAACCCCAATATAACCCCAATTTTGGGAAACCCCTAGAAAGACCTTCGGGAGGACGTCCCAGTGTGCTCCGGGGGGCTGAAGATCGCCAACCAGCGCAGCGGAGCTCTTTGGCCACTGGGTGCATGGATTTGCCCAGGACTATAAACTTGGCTTTCAATTTGGCTTAGTTTTTGAAGTGCGGGCCCGTAGGCCTTTTGCGGGATTCTAGGGACCCTTTTTAAGGGTAGATATAGCATATAGAGTAGGTAAATGAGATCAAATGAGGATCCCAGGGCTCGGGGCCTGTGCAAGCCGCTCATGGTTTCAACCTTAGATTTTGGGGCTTCTGGGGTTCATGAGAGGCTCTCTCTTTCACCTGTGGCTCCCATTATTCTGGGGATTTACGTCTTGATAAAAGCCTGCTTTGGGCGAAAGTTCATGAATGATAGCTACTCTGGGCTCTTTGGATCTCTAGGAAAATAGGTGTTGCATTGTACTTCAGCGGTTCAGGTTCTGGATGTAGGTAGGTTAGTCTTTGGTTGGTATGTGGACCCGGTTATTTAGAATCACGCCACTGAAGCCCCTTTCTGATGTCAGGCCTCACAATAGTCCTATGTAGGTCCTTTTCGAGCAGGGTATTATCGACCCAGGGCGCACGTAGTGCAAGGACAACGACGCTTGCCAATGGGTTCCGGAAGTATTCTCAAGGAACACTGCAGCACAGAGTTTACTTCCCTTGTTCAAACAAGGCCATCAAAGTATAGGACACTGGCCCGAAGCCCAACATGGGAGTCCAAACAACTAGCTATATACGGATATTCGTTCCCAAGACAACCCAAACTTGTTTATGAGGATCATGGTTGTTCGGCCAATAGCTATGAATTTCTCATTGTTAGGGTCGCTTCTGAACCTACACCCAAGCCCTAAAACCTTAGATCCTCAACCCTGAACCTGGCAAAGGGGCCGTTAAAAAGAACTGTTGCATTCCACTAGAACCCTAATATTACCCCAATAGAACCCTAATATAACCCCAATATAACCCTAAGCCTCAAACCCTAAACCCAATGTAACGCTAATATTTGTTGCATTCCACGTGTATGGGCTCCACTGCTTCAGGCCAAAAAGGCATCGGACGTTACCCGCCTTCAGCTCCTCGGATGCAGCTGTTCTTCGAATGGTTACAGTACCTACTGTTGATGGATGAAATCTTCCACCAGCTAGGGGCCCTAAACCACTGTAATTCCTAGGACTTTAGGAATTTTCAGGTGGTGCAAGATTTACTCCATGAAGAGTATGAAGTTGGGCTGCAGAATCCGTACTTGAAGTGCCTTGGAGGACGTCAGAGCGCAATTGTTCTACACCGGGCTTGTGGATACGATTACGACCAGATTCTAGTCGTCTGTGTTGTGGCTGGTCTAGGGTGACGGCAAGTAGACATGTCTATTGACTTGTCATTGTGCAAGTACAGGTCGTCTGTCTGGCTGTACCAGTATATTCTGACGGAATGGAGGTCCTAACGATGGACCTCCGGATAGCGCATGCTCAAGGTTTTAGCCAAGAAGCAGCCGCCGCGCTTTTGCTGCATGACTTCTCACTGTGCAGCTAAAGAGATCCAACCCCCCAAAGCCCTGATTTGTTTCCTTATGCCTGGAGCGTTACAAGAAGGTGCACGTCTGTGCACCGTTCAAAAGATAAAGCAGCAATCCCGGCTTATGAAGCCAAAGCATCTCAGGAAAAGCATGTCAAGGTAAAACTGGCTCCGTCGTATCGGGAGGTTTCTTATGCAGTAACCTTAACAAAGACGACATTCTCTGTTGATGCCCTTCAGAGAAAATCGGTCGCTCGTGTTTAGGATTCGGTATGGGCAAAGGCTGGCTTTTGACAAGCCAGCTCCCTCAGAACAAGCACGTGGCGCTGCCTTAGCATTTTTGCCACGGAAGCCCTAAAACACCTTAACCCCTGCACCACCCCAAACCCTGCCCCCAAGAACTCCAAATGTTCTTAGACTAAACCTCGTAAACCCTGAGCCCCCACCATAAACCCCATTTTGCTCCACATATAGTCCCCAGTGTACCATACCTAACCCCCAGTATATCATATATAGCCCCCAGAATACTATAGTAGCTTCCCAAACCTGATGCGTATCCTCAGCAGCCTCGCACGCCGAGATTCGGCGTTCAGAATCCTGGAGTCCCGCTACCTCCAGGCAATTGGTCTTAGAGGAACCTGAACCCCAAAAGTATGTAAAATAATTGCATTTCAGGCCGATTTTAAGGATTTTGGGCCACTATCTTTGCTTTTTTTGGGGCAGAGGAAGTATTTATTTCACTAGGTTCCAAGTCATTATTCAGGATTCAAAGGTTTTATCAGGGTTGTATAAGGTCATTTCAGCACACAAAGTGAAAGTTCTAGTCCCAGAGTTATGTGAGGGCTTAATCTTACTTTACTGGTGTACTGGTGGTTCCAGTAAGTTATTATCAGAAAGTGGTCTTCGTGGCAGAGCAGGAAGCGGGCCTTCAACATACTGACTTGATATAGAGATCAGACTTTTCAAGTCATGAAGCTTGGCTTTGGATGTAACACCTAACCGATTCAAACAATGTATTGTGGGAGTTTCTGGTTCAAAGAGCTCCAATACGGTTTTGGGGGATAGTCTGCTTTAACCCGAAAAGTATAAAGGGAGAAAATTCTGAAACAACCCCAAGCCCTAAACCCACTTCTACATGAGTGGTTTCTGGTGTGTCCCTGGCAGGTGTAGTGCGAGGCCAAGACCCGCAGCACTTTCCAGTACCCGTCCCTTGGCATGGAGAGCTCCAAAAGATTCTTATTATTACTACTGTACAATGTCATACTTATTAGTACTATTAGTACTGCTATCATTGCAAACACTGTCACTGTTATGTTTGTTATTATTACTGTTATTACTGTCATTAATATTCTTATGAGTACTGTTACTACTGTCATTAAGATTATTATTACTGCTATTATAACAGATTGCCCCAGAGAACATTCTTGTTTGCATCGATTTCTGAAATTCTGCTTCTGGTAGTCTCATTGAAGTCCCCCTTCGCCCTCAGTCCAGCTATTTGCCCCTTACCAGTAGAGGTTAGGGGCATATCTATTGCAGAGGGTGTTGGTACATCACAGTGGCGGTGAGCGGCCGCAGGCTTAGACGGAGCCGATTACTGGGGTCAAGAGCAGGTAGCAGGCTTTGGCCCACAGTCGGCTTCCTGGTGACAGGGGTCCCAAGTGAGCCTTGGGTTTTTGAGCTCAGGGTTTAGTTGGTTTATCTTGTTTGCCTTGTGTTTTGTTCTGTAGTGTCGTTTACGGTTTCGGAGTGTACTGTTGCAGGCTTGATGAGTTCAGTGAGGGAATTTGTACATGAAATGATGAGAATGTTCAAACATCCAAAACCCGAAGCTCTAACCCCAATCCCAAGCCATGAATCATAGCAATTAGTAACAGTAAAAATAATAGTAAACATAATAGTACAAATAATAGCTCACCCCCCCCCCATGATCTACCTTTTGGTGGGTTGGTGAGTCTCGTACAGGTCCTCATGACTAGAAACTCCTTTTAAACTCCAGTTAGGAATTGAGGAGAAATGTTGGAA